GTGGGAGTCATCCCACCAAGTTTCAGTTATTCCTATCAAGTCATACTTCCCCTCCTGAATTAAAATTTCCAGTTCTTCTTGTTTCCCATACTCCTGGCATTTGTATACAGGCACAAGAAGGTGTGTGATTTGTGCCCTGTTTGTCTTTGTACATTTTACAGGAGGCAGCAACAAAAACCATCCCAAAGAAAAGGAAATGCAAGAAAGCAAATTGGCTATCCAATGAGAACTGGATATGGAACAACTGATTGGTTCAAAATTGGGAAAGGAGTACAACAAAGCTGTATATTGTCCCCTGGCTTATTTAATTTATATGTAGAATACATCGTGCAAAATGCTGGACTGGAAGAATACCAAGCGGGAATTAAGATTGCCGGAAGAAATATCAACAACCTCAGATATGCAGATGATACCACTCTGATGACAGAAAGTGAGGAGGAATTAAAGAACCTCTTAATGAGGGTGAAAGAGGAGAGTGCAAAAATGGTTTGAAACTCAACATCAAAAAAACTAAGATCATGGCCACCGGTCCCATCACCTCCTGGCAAATAGAAGGGGAAGATACAGTGGCAGTGATAGATTTAACTTTCTTAGGCTCCATGATCACTGCAGATGTGACAGCAGCCACAAAATCAAAAGACTTCTGCTTCTTGGGAGGAAAGCGATGACAAACCTCGATAGCATCTTAAAAAGCAGAGACACCACCTTGTTGACAAAGGTCCGCATAGTCAAAGCTATGGTTTTTCCAGTAGTGATGTATGGAAGTGAGAGTTTGACCATAAAGAAAGCTGACCGCTGAAGAACTGAGGCTTTTGAATTGTGGTGCTGGAGGAGGCTCTTGACACTTTGTGAATGGACTGCAAGCAGATAAAACCTATCCATTCTGAAAGAAATCAACCCTGAGTACTCACTGGAAGGACAGATCCTGAAGCCGAGGTTTCAATATTTTGGCCATCTCATGAGAAGAGAAAACTCCCTGGAAATTGGGAAAGAGTGAAGGCTTGAGGAGAAGGGGACAACAGAGGACGAAATGGTTGGACATTGTCACCGAAGCTACCAACATGAATTTGACCAAACTCATGTGAAGGCAGTGGAAGACAAGGGGGCCTGGCATGCTCTGGTCCATGGAGTCACGAAGAGTTGGACACGACTTAACGACTAAACAGCAACAACACATCATTTTGCAGAAATTATGGTTTCCCAAATCCATACCTAAAATGGACTTTCCACGACTCCACAATAAGCCACTCAGGAAGCTTAGACAGTTATAAAATGCATTCCTCTGTGTGTATTTTTTTAAATTCTGTATCCTGTGCAGGGAAGAGTCCCTCAAGGGATGAGTAAAATGCTCTTAAGTAAATAACTGCCAATTTCAGTACTTGTGAATCATGCATGTGCCATACTGCAGTTATTCTCGATTTATCAAAATTAAATTATTTTAAAAACCTATGGTTTGTGAATGTGAGATATTGTGCTTCTGTATCTATGATTCAAAATGCCAGGAAATGGCCCTCTATATCACGCCCACATTGCCAGCAGGAAAAAGGATGCCAAACTATACATAGCAAAGGGCAGTCTGAATGTTGACAGCAGCAGTCAAGATTGTCTACAGGATACTATTCACACTTGTTGAAAAAGAGATCTGACAATTGCTTTGTGCTTAGGTAAGAAGTGCTTAACTGATGAAAAAAGGAGTTAGCTTCTAGAATTTTCTCCTGTTTGGTGACACTGTGAATGGCAGTGCTATCTGCAGCAAGAAAGACTTGCACTTGATCAATGTGTGCAAAATTTGAAGGCTTTGGCTCTATTTTGAGACTGCCTAGTGTCCAAGTTAACTGGGAAAGCTCTGCAGATGTGCAAAACATAAAACTTTTTCACAGAGAGAAGAGCTGGAAGATGTAAGAAGAGCGAGCAGAGTTGTGATGCTGGCTTGACATTAGTACAAGAAACACATAGAGAAAACCTGGAAGCAATTGATCAGCGTAAGGCACAACTTCCAAAATGACGAGTACAGATAAATACGCTTCACCAACTATTTGCTTTCCTGCAGATCCAGAGATTGTTTGATACTGAAAAAGACGATTTTATCAATTAGCAAATTCAGCACACATATGCTAAGTACAGTATATAGAGCTGAATGTTGCAGGTATGATTGCCGAAATAAATCACCTTTGGCACCATATTTTCTCATATGAGGAAGTGAATCCCAGTAAGCGGATTGCTAAATGGACAGCTTTAGATTTGCTTTGGTCAGTGTTAAAGTGAAAACTGGAAAAAAAGTTTGATTAACTTTGTTGCAACATTAAGAATCTTTTTAACTGACAGTTGTGAAAGAAGTTTCTCAAAACTTAAATGAGAAAGTATCAGAGACCTACAATGAACCACAAAAGATTGAGTAACCTAGCAATACTGTAAATTGAGAGAGATATTTCAATGTAGATTTCAATACTGTTTTGAAAAAAATCCACAAATTAAAACTAGGTGTTTTTAAATAAATTTGAGTATACTAGCATTAAATGCATTTTTAATTACATCGGCATTTTCTTAAAATCCAACACAGGTGCTTGGGGGTAAGGGGTTAAATACTGGACTGCTAGGAGGGAGTGCTAATGGTCCACAGGTTAGGGAGCACAATTCTTACCTTGCCCCAGGTGCTGGCAACCCATGCTATGCCACTGCCTAAGCAGAACTTACTGAAAAAGATAATATTGCTAGGAAGTGAAGGGCAGTATGGAAAACAGCCTAATATGAGATGTTATTGATCAGAAAGATGTGAGTAGAGCTATTAATTATAAGACATTTTGTAGGTAATTAACTCATACAGTCACCACACATGAGAAGTGACTTGATGGCTCATAACATAATTGGAGATTAATTACCAGGCAGTTATATACTGATGAATGGAATGGTTGAAACTAATTACAGGATACATGCACCAAAGTTCAATTAACACCGCGGAAGACCATTCCCAGCCACAAAACAAAAAAACAGCAATTTCACAGTTTAAACAATTGAGAATATATATTCTCTGTTTTTTTAAAATATATTTTAAAATATTATTACAACCAGGCACAGAATCCCCTTTGCCAGCACAAATGCCTATTTGTTCAAGAAAGAGTTAAAAAGTCATCCTCCTAAAAGTCAGATAATTGGGTCCTGACTAACTGGGTCAAATGTTTAGATTTCCCCTTTGAAGACATGTGTTGGGAGGCTTGTTTCAGAAATCATGAGAATGATTACTGGAAGCACTCAGGACTGGGAAAAACATAACTCCTCTGTGCTTTTGTAATTCATAAATGCTTTGAATATGCCTTACAAAACTATATCTGTGAAGATTCTCAGCCATCCAGATGATGTTATCTGGAAGGTGAGTCATGGAAACTGGACTTTTTTTTATTAGGTTGAAACGTTTTACTACTCATCCAAGTAGAAGAATCTACTTGGATGAGTAGTGAAACGTTTCAACCTAATAAGAAGTCCAGTTGCCATGACTCAACTTCCGATTCCCAGGAGATAACTGGTAAAATGTCCCTTTCTGGAGGACTGTTACTCCATTACTTCCTTTAAAAGCAAGCCTGTTATTTTTTTTTAATTTAAAAATACTCCTTGTCTTTTGAGGATCAATATTTCAGACTCTATAGCCTGGATTCTTCCCCAATTAAAAAAAAGTGGATGAGACAAACCGTTATCTTTCCAGATAAGCAAGACTGGTCTTCTCAATTTGTATAGCTATGTTAAATCTGGAGATATTTACGGTAGCTTGTTTCTATGAGGGAGACCATGAGGGACATGGTCCTATGAGGGAATTGTAACTCAAAAAACTTTTGCCCAAGCTTCTCCAAATATGGTACATCAAGACCATATTGTCTGTGACATGTGTGCCAAATTTCATGTGGATCCGAAGTCCAGTTTAAAGTTGATTTTTTTGTTTGGGTTGCCCCCATTTTTAGAATTGTCTTGCAGAATGTTGGTTTGCTCTGCTACCATGCAGTCATTTGTTGTTGTTGTTTAGTCGTTAAGTCGTGTCCGACTCTTTGTGACCCCCTGGATCAGAGCATGCCAGGTCCTCCTGTCTTCCACTGCCTCCCAGAGTTC